GGAAGATGCTGGTGGCCTGATTGCAGAATGTATTTTTACGCATAATTAGCTTAATAATTAGCTTCATCGTGAAATCTGATTTCTACCATAGTTGATTTTCCGAATCTGTATGTCTGTATTTTAAACCTGCCACCATAAGTCACCAATAAAAAAATAATTTATTTTTGTTCCTGTACCATTTTAGGTCATTATTTCTTTATCTTTCTTTTAAAGTTCTTGGCACAAAATACATTTCTGATGCATTTTTTTGTGTTTTTCTGTATAATAATCTTCTATACTCAAACAGATAATAATCTTCTCATGCTGCTCACCTTATTGTACTCCACGTGCAGTTTTTCTTGCTCGCTTTCCAGTTTGTCTTTTAGGTTCTTCTGCTCGGAGATGTTGTCCTGGATCTGAATCATTCGCATGTTCCGCTCTGAATAACAATTAAGACGAAAATCAATAACACGATCGCAATCTATACACAGAAAAGAATGTACTGATAGCAGATATGTCCTCTGCTAAAGGCTAATGAAGAGTGTTCTCAAGGTTATTGACAGGGTGCTGCTTAATTCTAGAGAGAGCGATCACACAATAAAGTCATTGTGCAGGATTTTGCTGACTTTGCGGACTGAAAAAGCACAAAGTTTTAATACAACTCAGTTAGAAAACATGAAACAAAATACAACAAAAAGAGATGTTGGTAGCAAATACACAGATAAGAATCACTTTTCCAGCTAAGCGCTCTACCTCAGGCTACTCTGAAGTGGATAAGGAGTGAAGGAACTTTTATTAAACCTCCTGATTTCCTGTTCTGATGGAGGACGCTGCATTTCTGCCTCTCTGTACCAGGATCCTTTTTTTAATCTTTGACCTTTGACCTCTTAGAAGACGCTATCAGACACTACTGTTTGAAATCTAAAGGAAAATGCTTTTAGATATTTGATCCAAACGGGCCAATGGGAGCAGGGCTGCTGTCCCATGTGACCTGAGAAAGGAGAGGATACTGTGTGGGATCCATTTAAATGGAAAATATTTGGGGATATCTCTGGAAAATCACTGAAAATGTATCTTTTTAGGTCTTTAGATGAAGGAAAATCATTGTTGTGTTCAAAGAGGTCAGAAATCTGAGCTTTTAATGCTTTTTTACTGTTTAAATCTAAAGGAAAATTATTTCAGACATTTTCCACCAATCATGTTCTTATTGTGGAGTTAAAATGTTGTAAATAAGTCATTTGGACCCTCAGAACCAAATGAATTAAATCTGTAAACAGACATTTTAAATCTAGAGATAAACCCACTGAGCCTCTATGAAGAAAAGCTACCTGAACCAGGACAAAGTCTAGTTCTTAAACTAGTTCTTAAATCAGCTCCTCCTGATCAGAGATCTGGAATAAAGCAGAACAAGATAGAAGCTTTGGCTCTCAGGAGGTTAATGGCAGATACTAAATGTAGCTCAGCTTTTAAAGCTGCATTTATTGGTCTTTTAAAATGTCACCAAATACTGAAAACCCATTTATTTTTCCTCTTTTGACTCCTCTAGTCGTGGGCTTTCATACCTCAGTTATATCTCAGTTTTTAAACCACACAATCTGTGGACAACAAATTTCCCGTTGGGGATGAATAAAGCTATCTATCTATCTATCTATCTATCTATCTATCTATCTATCTATCTATCTATCTATCTATCTATCTGATAGAAATTCTTATTCAACTTTTTTTGGTAGCTAAAGTCTGAACTTTTTGAGGGAACTACAGCAAATCTCAGGCTTTTTTAATAAGATTCTCTGTTTTAAACTAAATAATTTTTCCTTTTATGACGGTGCAACCATCTAACTTTCGGTACTCGTCGGTTAATCCTCTCATTTCTAACTCGCTGACATTGTTCATATGATACTGGCCACCAGAGAGCGTGGTCTTTTATGTCCCTTCAAAATGTTATGTGTGAAAAATAAATCTATCTATCCCTCCCTCCCTCTATCTATCTATCTATCCATCCATCCATCCATCCATCCATCCATCTATCTATCTATCTATCTATCTATCTATCTATCTATCTATCTATCTATCCATCCCTCCCTCCCTACCTCCATCCCTCCCTCCCTCCATCCCTCCCTCCATCCATCCATCCATCCATCCATCCATCCATCCATCCATCCATCC